CTCTCCCTCCCACTCTCTCTCTCAAATAAATAAATAAAATCTTTAAAAAAAAAAAAAAGAAAGAAAAACTTCAGATGACAAGTCCTAAAAAGACTCTTTATAATGCATGCTATTTCTCGCTGTCATTCACTGATTGCTTTAACCTTGAGTTTATCTTTCCACTGTTCTGGTTACTGATTCAAAATGAGGGGTATAAGAAAACAAAAGCATGGAGTCAAAGTCAAATCTTCTCCTCAGGAGGTCTTAAGAGTGCTACAATTATGAAAAGCATGTTTAAATAAGAACAGGAGGGGCGCCTGGATGGCTCAGTCAGTTAAGCTTCTGCCTTTGGCTCAGGTCATGATCCTAGGGTCCGGGGATGGGCCCACATCAGGCTCCCTGCTCAGTGGGGAGTCTGATTCTCCCTCTGACCCTCCCCCTGGCTTTGCTCTCTCTCTCTCAAATAAATAAATAAAATATTTTTAAAAAATAAATAAGAACAGGACACTGCAGAAAAACATTCAGCAATTCTTTTTCTACCTACTGAAAACATAATAGTACATAGTGGTTCTAAAATCTGACACTTCTAGTATTTGCTTTAAGAATGCCTGAAACCCATTCCAGCTACTTACCACCTATAGCCTCTAAAGTTTGTTGCAGCAGACAACCACTTTTAAAATTAGATTTCCTTGACATATTTGGTCCATGTTGTACAAAAAAATTAAAACACATTGGTGAAAGATGTAGACACATTTTTATAGCTTAAAAAAATCAATGTTGTTGCCTTTGAGCCTAGGGTAAGACCAATTAGGTAGACTATAAAAGTGAAAATAAAGCTACTATTTTTCACTAGACACTTCCAATATTTTAAAGAACATCCTGATTTTTTGTAAGTTCACTCATTGACTCCACTTCTATCCTCAGGCCAAAAATGAAGAAAAATAAAGTCTTAAAAGAACAAAAAGATTTAAAGTTGTATCTTTATCAATAGAGAGATTTCTAGGTGGTTCCAATGTATTTTGCTGGGCAATAAGCCATATGAAATCAATATTTAAGGTGGATGATGATTTATGCAGAATGCTGATGAATTAAAAATAGCAAAAATAATAAATTCATTAAGGAATAAGAAACTAGAGGTTTCCTATGTGGTTTATTGTGATGACCCAAGATAGTAAGACTCTAAATAGGCACCTTGAAATGCCGTGAAAACCGTTTGGGCCAGATGACCTATCTTTAAATGTAAGCAACAATAACTAGTGGACAACTTAAATGTTGGTTACATATGTATATACATTTGTCAAAATTCATTGAGATGTACACTTAAAATCTGTGCACTTAACTATGTGTGAGTTGTACCTAAACAAAGGTAAAAGAACAGTTAAGTGTATAAAGAACTGTTAACATAAATAAAAAGAAAAAAAAAACGATTACACTAAGATGCAATTCCTCATCTATCAGGCTAGCAAAACTTCAGATGTGTCACAAAACATGTGAGGCTATAGGGAGACATACTCTTTCTTGTTGCTGGTGGGAATGCAAAATGGTGCAGCCTCCCACAGAAGGGAATCTGGAGGTGTATAGTGAAATTTCATATGGATTTACCCTCTGACCTAGGAACTTTACTTATAGAAATCTATCTGAAGACTATACTGACAAAAGTATAAAAAGATAAATGAACAAAACTATTCACTGCAGCACTATTTGTGATGGAAAAAGACTGCAGTACAAAAATTCCATCAATAAGTGATCCTGTCAAAATAAATTGAACCTGAATCTCATCAAATCTCCGGATATAACTACCAATTTACTGGAAATACAAGAGACAGAAAAACATGTTAAATGACACCACCAGGATGTAATCAGCAAAATCCAGGCTGTAAGAAAATATAAAAGACAAACAATACAATTTCTTCAAAAAATAAATTACAAAAATATAAGAGGATAGAGGAGGAAAACTAAAAAATAAAAATCAACTGTAATATATGGATCTTACTTAGATACTGATTTGAACAAACTTTAAGTAAAAAAACTGAAGACAATCATGAAAATTTAACACTGGATATTTGAAATTAAGAAATTGTAAGTATTATAATGGTAATGGTGTTATAGGGTTTGGGGTGGGGCTGTTTAGCCTTCATCTTTTAGAGATACATGCTGAAATATTTATGGTTAAATATTATGATTCCTGAGGTTTACTTCAAAATAACCTGGCACAGGGGAAAGTTGTGGTAAGGAGTATAGAGAAAATAATAGACAAGAGTTGATCATAAATGAAGCTGGATATATTACATAGAGATCAATCATTCACTCTAAATTTGCATGTGCTTACAATTTCTGATAATATTTTTAAAAAAGGATTAGTAGACAAACTTAGCTGGACAACAAGAAATATTCATGCTTGCTAAGCAAAGCAATTCAAATAAAAATAATTGTAAAGATCTCTTTTATACTTAACCTAAATTAGAAATGAATAGTTAACATATAATGTACCAAAAATTGGTCTCAGTTTCCAGCCCAAATCTACTCTTTGACTTCAGGTTCAATCTCAGCCTGTGAAAGACTAGAACACTCTATGTTAACATCAGTGTCTTTATCTGGCAGCCCACAACTTGTGCATGATCAATGACATAGACACATCTGATCAACATACCAATACCAGGAATAGAAACTAGGCAAGTCTTCTGAATTTACTAGTAATTAACAATAATTATTATAAGAAAATAATTATTGTTAATTTCTCTTCAATAACTAGTACTCTAGATCCAACTTGAAGCAAACACCTTCTTTATGTGCTTTAAATGTTAACATTCTATCCTTCAGTTTAAGTATGTTTACATTTAATATTGCCAGAGTATGCTGCTGTAATAATTAACAATGATTATTAAAGCTGTTAATTTCATGTGCAAGAAAAGAACACATTTAATTAGTTTAAAAAGTAGGAGATGAACTGATATTTAATACAAATATTGAAAGAATGTGTTAACTCTGTAACATTAGGAAGAAAAAATACTCTTCTTGAGCCAATGCATATTTTATAAAAATGTAAATATAAGAAATAGTAACAGATATAAGAAAGAGTATATATAATATACTTCATATATATATATAAGAAAGAGTAACAGAGATGATATTATAATCATAATCTTAGTTGGTGTAGGCTAGTTGGTATATATATTAGCATTCATAACATTAAACAAAATAAACTTTAAGAATTATACTTAATTTCCAGTCATCTAATTCCATTTAAGCCATGAATCTTTCAAGGAAAAGTCCTATTTGGGAATTGTTCACATTTTATAATAGTCAATTAAAAGCAAAATGTCAACTTTCTATCTCTAAATTAAATGAGTAGGAAAGACCAAAAATCACATGAAACAATATTCTCAATATATCTTTCTTAATCCAGCTATACTAAAAAATGAAAACTGTAAAAGGAAAGAACAAAGTATTAGAAAATGGTAAGGTATCCAGAACACATTTTGGTCTCACTAACTGAAATTCAAAACAACAGATACTATAAAAATGCCTTAACAGGACAATTCCTTATCATTATGAATCTATGGAGACTAAAAATGGAAGCAAAAAGCTTATCGAAATGATTGCTACAGACTGAGCCATTTTCAGTAGTTGAAGACAAGGGATTTTTGAGGTTTGCCAAGCTATAAATCCCAGGCACAGTTATTTCCAGAAAATATGTAACTAAAAAGCTTCTTCCTGAATTATATCCTATGAACAAAAAGGTTATTGATGTTATTTAAAATGTCAGTTGAAAGTGATCATCTGTTTAGTCTCACAATATGTAACACAGTGACCAGAGAAGCAATCTAGCAGCTGACAGGGATGAGAAATTATTGCCCTTGCACTTAATATCAAAAATTGAAAGCCACATCAATAATTAAAAATTTTAAATATGTTTATTCTTTGAGAGTGATTCTTTAACCACAGAGAAATTCACTGTGACCAAGCACTGAGTTTTGACACTCAACCATTCTACAGTGAAGCAAAAAAAAAATTTTTTGGTACACGATGGATGGACAAACAGATATATAGGTAATATTTAAGATGTATGTGTATATATATGAATATATATGTACATATTCCAATACTGACAGGGTGTAGAGGAAGTATCTGTGGTGGTATCTTTATTAGAACAACACTTTGGGAAAGAACTTTTTAAAAAACATACATATTTTTTTGGCCAAACAATCCAATCATGGGAATTTATCCTATGAGGGTGAAGGATTCTAAAACATGAAAAGTGTCTCTGCATGAAGATACTTACCAAAGTATGATTCCCAATATTGTAAAACTGGATACAATCCAAATATCCAAAAATCAGAATGTGATAAGGCATGTGTCTTTTTCTATTTGAAGTACTCATCACTCCTGTTTTGGTTTAATTTTTATTGGCCTTGAGATCCCAATTTCAATGTCATTGCCTCAAAAAAACCTTCCCACTCAACTAGGATCAAGACCAGACAACATGTTTTTGTTATTTGATTAACACTGACTTTCCTCCTCTTCTCCTGCAAACAGTACACGCCATGAGGGTAGGGGATGTATTTTGCTCATTATTGTATTATCGAGCCACGTAATAAATATTTATTTATGAGAGTAATTAAATATTATATAATAAATATTATAAAGATTATGTGGCAAAGTGTTAGGGGGAAGTATACAGGATTTCATGTCTATATTTATCATGGGAAAAATAAAATATGTATGTATATGTTTATGTCTATATATGTATGCATAATGTGATGTATATACAATGGGTCAGAATAGAAGTCAGAAATATGAAAATAGTTTTATTAGGATAGCTATATAAGTGATTTTCCCCTAAAATTTCTTTCAATGTCCTGAGAACATCAAATTCTTTTAAAGTTATATCTGAACTTAACAAATAAGGCCCTTTTTAAGAAGTCTCCTTAGTTTGAGGGGATATATCTCATGGATAGGTAGTCACGCCTTAGAATAAGTATGAAATGTGCTTTGGAATCATAATATTTGCCTTTTTGAAAAGACATTTTAAAAAAAGCCACGCAAAACTAATGTAGCACAAAAATATTAAATTCAAATGAAAACTTGTAAATTACTTAATATGTCACTTTGCCAAATCGGATTTTTAATGCAACAAAGCCATGAAAATGTTGTTTATAATGTACCTTATTATTTGCATAAGAGAGAAACATACTGCATGAATAATCCTAAACCATACAAGGCCCTAAAATACTGTGCACAATCACTTGCACATAAACCCCCTTCAAATCTAGTCCAGGTTCACCTTTTCTGAGATTAGGGCAAAAAAGGGAATTGTAGAAAAGAGAGGCATCTGAGGGCATATTTGTATCGTGTTGCAAAAGGAGCCTTAAATCAGATGATAATCCATGGCTGGCACTTAATTTGCAATTCTTACTTTTCAGAGTAAGTTAGAAATTGTTGAAAACTAATAAAATAGCTAGCTTTCTAAAAGTAGAGACTTCAGGATTGTTATGAACATTAACTGAGGAATGCATGTAAACTATATAGCACAGTGTTGGAGAACATTCAATAAACGTTAGCTGCTATTCACTATTATTAATAGTTGGAAGATTCTAAAAACTATTTAGAATGTCATTTATTTTCACATTTACATTATAAATATAATTTTACTTCCTGGAAACTCAATTTTCCAAAACTAGAAAACACACATGCACACATACACACTTCTAACCTTTAGCTCTATAGAGGCAGAAGCTAATTTTTTTGCTTCCGTTAATGCCTGCAACTGTTGATAGTCTACTGGTTTATACTTGGTGCTTCTCATTCCATTTTTCATACGGAACACCAGATTATCTGTTTTTCATTAAAAACAGAAAATGACAAAGAAATAGTATCATATTATTGGAAGTCTAAATATAGCTACAGCAACATGTTGACTGCAGGTCTTATTTTTAAATATTTTTAAGCAAAAACAAGAAAAAATATTACAACATTCATAGTATATTTGAACCTCTATCTTTAGAAACTTTAAAAATAATTACCACTATATACCTTGCATAAAATTACTTCTAAAAGAACATAAAGAAATATTTCCATTTAAGTAAGTATATTGAGAATTTTAGAAAATTAATGTCAAGATACAAAGTGTGGCCATTCTTTTTATTTAAAAGGTTTTAGGCATCAACTGTGAATATTTAAGTATCATCTTATTATGAATCAAATTAATCAGATTTTTTAAGTCATAGCTGCATTTCTAACAGAAAAAGTTGAAATAAAATAATTTCAACTTTTGAAATTCAACCTTTGAAAAAAGGTTGAAACTGAAAGCTAAAAAATGTAATGGGCCAAATAAGAATAAAATGATATAAAATTTTCAGGTAGGTATTCTCCATCCAAATACATAAAATGTCCTAGTTTAGTATGATATTTGCTGTTCTGATAAAGTAAAACATAAGTAGAAGGTACTCAAAGGCCAAGTAGCATAAAGTATAATAATCTGAATAATTCAAGCAAAAAAAAAAAAAACCAATGCATTTTTGCCCCAATTATATGAATAATTAATCTGTACCATATAAGGTGATTGAGATTAAGTATATCATGAATCACATGACTTTAAGTAGACTCCAAGTGATTTAAAGACAGCACAGTAAAGGAAAATATGGTTATCTTGACCACTGTTGAAGATTTAAGCATGCATTGTAAGGGAATTGGAGAAACCTTCAGTATGACCAAACAATGAGCTTTCCATTAAAATTTTGAAAATCAACATTCCAACTTTACATCATGCATAATTCACTATAAATCATAGAACAGATTTGGAAGTAGACAAAAAATACCTGAGCTATCGTTTTTCTGAATTGTCTTGAATGGTTGGTCTCTTTTATTCAAGTCCTCCATATCTATCAAAGAAACAAGAGACAGCTAAAATTTCACAATGTTATTTTCCAAACATTTTTAAAGATGTGTTAATCATAGTGTTTTTTAAAACAAGACCTAGGTGCTATAACTCTGTATTTACTAAAATTTGCTTCTCCAAGTTCTAGAAGCTTCTTTCCACTAGTTTTTTCCCTCTCTTCCTTTCCTGTTCTTGGTGTCTTCTTCCAACCTCTGACATTTTAATCCTCCTCTCTTGGATTGTCTCAGTGACTGATAAATATTTTGTGATTAAAAAATTGTGTACGTTTTATCCTGAGTTCCTAGGAGGAAAAAAACTACATAAATTAAAAAATAAAGCAGCGGGCCAAGTGACTCACTACTACTGTTAAGCAAATCAGCCTTTGTGGCTGATGCTCAGATGTGCCATCCACTTCTACAAAGCACTCGATGCCCAGCTGTCCTTTCTTTCAGAATTGGACTCAGTTTCAAAGAGTAAATTCGTCCAAAGGCATACCACTGCTGGGGCAGCCTATACCCAGCGACTGAGCAAGACAGGATTTTAAAGTCCGACCAGTTTGGACCCAACATGGATCACCCTGATGGGCAATATTTCATCCAGAGCTCCCTGCAGTGTTGACCCGGACTTTGTTGGACCTTCATTGAAACTGATGTTTTCATCTGCCCAATCCTGCTTCCTCCTTCTTCCTTTACAGGTATGGATCCCTAATGAATATTTAGCACCCAAGCTCTGCCTTAGCATCTCCTTCCTGAGAACCCAACCTGCAGTAGCATCAAACTAAACTGACATCTTTTTAGGGCACCTACAGGGCAACAGACTAGTCAAATGGTGCTTTAAGTAACAGTACCATTTTTCATAAATTTTTGTTCCATATCCACTAGGTTCAACTACTCATGTCTAGTGGCTTTTGCTGTAACCTAAGTCTTCTTAAATGGAAAAGAAAGTAGCACAAGTACTTCATTTTTGGAAACTCTTCCAAGTTACCAAGAATCACGGTGATTGGGGCGCCTGGGTGGCTCAGTTGTTAAGTGTCTGCCTTCGGCTCAGGTCATGATCCCAGGGTCCTGGGGTCGAGCCCCGCATCGGGCTCCCTGCTCAGCGGGAAGCCTGCTTCTCCCCCTCCCACTCCCCTTGCTTGTGTTCCCTCTCGCACTGTCAAATAAATAAATAAAAAATCTTTAAAAAAAAAAAAAAAAAGGATCATGGTGATTGCCCAACAGCTTTCAGAATATAGCGATAAAATCCAGTGTGTAACTCCTATAGAGTCTCTGGTCAGGGAATTCTTGTTTTAAGCCTTCAAAAACATTGACAATCCTCCCTATAGTCTGGTTTCTACTCACATCTACATCGTATCCATTAGGATTCTTCTTTTGGGGGGGAAGGTTTTCACCTGTCAGTCTGCACTGCCTCAAGCCACTATCACCTCCTGCCGGATGACAGCAGCAGTTCTACTTTGTACCCTTAGAGTCCATTCTTCACACAGTAGCCCAAGCAACCTCTTTAAAAACTCTAGTATGACCTTGCTGAATCCCTTCAATGGCTTCCATTATCCTTTAAAATAGTGCCCTAATTGGCCTATAAGGTCCTGCATGATCTTGCCCTTGTTCATCTCCCCATTCTCATCTCATTCACACATTCCAACCACACTGGTCTTTCTGTTTCTCAAATATACCAAGTTCATTTTGCCTTAAGGCCTTCCCACTTGCTGTCCTCTCTACCTTAAAGATATTTCCTTCCTCTTTTTACCTGGCTGGTTCCTACTTAGCTTTCAGCTAAACCTCAGAGACTTAACCAGACTTTTCCATCTAAATAAGGGAGAACTCTTTGTTTTGCTCTCTCATCCCATTCTTTCCTTTCCATTGTAATTTATATCAGTCTTCACATCTCCATGTTTACTGATTCAATATCCATCTTCCTCCGTAGACTTGTGGCCTATGTGTGTCTTCTGATTGCATCCCCAGTGCCCAGCACATGTAGTAAATGCTCAGTAAGTATTATTTGAGAAAATGAATAAAAGGTAGCTGGCAGCAGCTCAATGTCTTGTAGGCCCCGGAAGGGCTGCAATACCAATTCCTTAGTCCATACTATAGCCTCCTCTCCAACAATAAATTTTCACTTTTCAAAAGTCTGCCTTAATAGTGTAGCGCACAGGCAGAAATGGCACATTTACATGGCTTCAAAGGCCATCACGTCAATGAGAGAGTGACAAGGTACACAATCACAGGGAGTGCAGAAAATATGGAAAACTAAAGAGCATTCCATGCCCAAAGATAATCAAATACATTTTTTTTCTTTTTATTAACAAAAGTACGCCACAAATAAAGCAAGTATCCAAAACAAATGGATGCTGCATTTAGCAGCTAGTCTGTGAGCTCTGGCCAACCAAGTCTCACCTCTAGTTTTCATCTCCGTCTCCCACCCAGAACTTGACTGTGAGCTTGCTATCTCCATCTTGGAGAGACCTTGCCAGTTCTCTCATTGAATAGCTTTAGGTTTTTCCTCAGTGGGGAGCCCAGCCCCTTCAGATTTAGGACTCATTTTGGGGGCATTTAGATTGCAAGATTGAGGCCCTGAAATAAAGCAGGGTATTGCAGACTCCCTTTAGGTTACCTTGGTCTAACATTGCTAGATTTTCAGATTTTCAGAGGAAAGTCATGAAGTCCACACAACATTTCTCACCATTTCTACATGGTTCAAATATTAATTATGACTGTAAGAAACTTACAGTAGAATACATTCTGGAAATCAAAATTGCAGACAAAAACTACTCTGTCTTCATGAATTTGAAATCTAGTTTGGCTGCGACTATATAGCAGACCAAGCAAAAACACTTCTTGACCTACATTCTTTTTTTAATTACATCTTTTTATTTTATTTTATTATGTTAGAGACCTACATTCTTTAATATTTATATATAAAGCACAAATAATTACTACTTACCTTTCAGGGATGTTGAGGATCTCTGAACTAAATAATTGTTAAACTGGAATAATATAAGACTGACAGTTGTAGTGTTTCTTATATCAGAGAATTAAATAGACATTAGATTTAGAATCTGAAAAGTTCACATATAATTCACTTAGTCTAACTTCTCATTTTAGCATATGAGATGATTGCGGCCCAGAAAAATGACCAAGATCACAGAGAACTTCAAGTCTAAAATCTCATATTCATAATACAAAAATCTCTGAAAATGAAGGTATATATCATAATCAATATGTCCAAATCCAACCTGAGCTGAAATCATTTGGTGGCAAACTTGACCCAAACCAAAGTTTATTTTATTTAATGTGGACATTCATACATTTGTCCGAAAGTGTTAATGTGTTTCATTATGGGGTGCTACCCAGATACCATCAGTTTTAAATAATATAGGGCATATGCTCTATATTACATTTCTAAAAATCTGAAAAATCAAAACTACATCTGGCACCCCAGACTTCAGATAAGAGATTATGAATCTGTACTAAAACAAACAGTCCTTGATTCCCAAACAAGCATATGTCATCTAGGCCATTTCAATTTTATGCTTACTAGTGAAATTCAAAGTGGCTACTTCAGCCTGCAGTTAAAATGTTTTTGACAGAGTAACGGCTACTTGAACAGAATTTTCCATGTTAAATAATTTTAAAGCACTTAGTTTTAGAAATTAATTCCATGTTCACATTATGTGACATTTTAGAAATCACTTATGAGTATTACCAAAATGTTAAACCTTTTAGATCTACTCAATTACTGAAAATATTTTAAAATAATATATTTTTATGAGAAGTTTCTTATAGTATAGGAAGAACATTTTGATATATAATATAATGATAGCTTTGCAGTAGCTAGAGGATTGAATACAGATTTTAATATAAAGTTAATTTTTACAGATTTGATAGAGAATCTAAACTTTAAAAACTACATGACCTCAACTGGTCTCTATGGGGTAGGTAAGCAAGAAGGACTTCTCTAGAGATGAGAAAAAAATAGCAAAGAGATCATTTATATAACAAGGCAATCTTTTTATAGTGTTAAAATTTGTATTCTCTTTCCTAAGAAAATCTCTTTTAATACATCAAGGAAGAAAATCTCAATTGCACTTAGGCTTAAAATTGTACAACGCATGGATAGTTTGTTAACTCTAAACTGCCTAACTGTGTAGATATGTATATTAGCCAATCACCCCATGAAGGTAAGTTTTCAAAAGTGATAGGGATTCTGCCAGGTCAAACAGTGTGAGAACAATACCAATATGAAAAAATATCTTGGATGTAGCATCATATTATAATCTTTTTTCATATGAAAGATCTCATTTCAAATGTGAGTTCAAATACTATGGCCAAAGTCTGGTTTAAGCAATATTTTTCTAACATGCAAAATTCTCTTTTAAATTCTAAGCAGAATGGCGCATATTACTTCCATTATGAAACATTATACATTGTAGTCAGCATAAGATAAAAATATTGTCCTGGAAAAATGAATGGAACCAAAAGCAAAATTATTAAAGTTAACAAAAATAGTTAAAGTGTTCAGTTACATAATAAATATCTCATAATTATTTCAAACATAATGGGGAAAGCTCTCACTCAAAAGAGCAACTACAACAGAACAAACAAAAACAAAATATCTAGGAATAAACTGTACAAGAAATGTGTAGGACTCATGTCCTAAAAAGCCACAAAAGTTTATTAAAGGAAACAAAACTTAAATAGAGAAAACCAATTCTGGTTCTGTTGACCAAATACTTAATAGTGGCAATTTGGGGATAGTAGGATTATAGTTGATTTTGATTTCCTCTTTTTGTTTGAGCAGAATTTCAAAAATATTTTTTTACAGGAAGAAGAAAAATACATTTTAAAAAATACTAAGCTGGGGCAATAGTTATTTCACTATAAATTAGGGGAAATGATACCACAGTTTCCATATTTTACCAGTCAGAAAAGAAACTGGATTTCATGACACCAAGAATCCTTTAAGATGAGAACTTGTATATACAATGTAATTTTCCACACTAATATT